CACACCACCTGCTGGCCCGAACAAGTCATTTTTTAAAAAGTATCTTTCCTATTTGTGTTAATTTAGAATGTAGAAGTAGTCTGTAACATTGTTTATTTTTGCTAGGAGGCAGAAATAATTGAAACTAGAGGAAATGTTAGATAGTTTATACGGATAGTCTCCAAAACTGATTAAAATATTTTTTCTTGAAACCAGCAGTTGGCATAATGACTATGTCGCTGGACTCCCATGTAGTCGACCGCGGTTCGAGTCCTGGACCTTAAACTCACGCTGGACTTGTGCGTGTGTGCCCAAGATCCTGAGAGGAGAATGGAAGAGAATGGAAGAGAAGGCATTGCGGTGTGGCCATCTTCCCTGGGGGGTGATTTCTTGCTTTCTGTCTCTCTGTCTCTCCTGTCTTTCTGGCAAACACACACACTCTATAGCAAAAATCTCTCTCATACACACACACACACACACACACACACACACACACATTTTTTTCTTTTTTTCCCTTTGGCCAATTGAATTAGAAGATAAACATTAATGCTAAAAAATAAGTTATTCAATATAATTTCAGATGTACTTGTGAAATATAAATATTGTTTCATAGTAATAAGATGTTGAAAATATTGTTTCATAGTAATATGATGTTGAAAAAGTTCCTAACCATATTGATTTTGCATATGAAGTTACTGTTTTTTAATTTGGAAATATCATGCTACCAGTTCACATAACTTATTTTAAAATGTCATAAAACTACTTACCTGTGATTCTACTGGCTAAATTGACATTCACAGATATATGCCTTGCCAAATGAAACAAATTTTTCATTTAGATGAGGAGTGGTTAATATCCATTCTTTAATTAATTCATGTTTTTTAAGTCTTTTTAAATAGGCTCTTATTCAATTTATTGCAGTGATGTGCTAAATATTTGTTAGTTATGACACAAAGCATGGCATTAACTTATTAAAATAATGCTTATTGCTATTATATATATCACAAAATTCCTCAAGGAAAATTTTTTTGAGTTTTTTTAAAAAATTTTTTTCTATAGGGTATGCACTTGCTCCAGAGACTGAGACAGAGAGACAGAAAGCTAAAATCATCCCCTGGGGTGATGGCCACGCTGCAATCCCTTCTCCACTTGGGATGTTAAGCATGCACGCACATGCTCCTGGCATGAGTTTCACTGCTGCATCTGGGACTCAGACTGCAGTTGGCCCTGTGGGAGTCCAGCGATATAACTACTACACCATCTGGTTGTCCCAGATATTAGTTTTATATAAATGATAAAGACCATAATAAGGTCTTCATTAATTCTCTGTAGTTTGACTTTATGATTAAGTTCAGAAACTTTGAGCTCAAAATGAAACATTATGTCTATATAAGTATAAAATAAAAGAAATTGTAGATATTAATTTAAAATTGGTTTTGTAGCTCAGCAATTGAACAGAAGTAGTTAAATCACAAAAACTCAGCTTCGAAATGATTCTACAGATGTCTCCCTTCTCTAAATCCCCAATCAGGTTCTATTCTACCATGAAATTTTATTTCCATAAACCTAGCACATAAAAGTCAATCATATGACTCCTTTCTGGGCTGAGATTTCAAGGCTTTCAATATAGAGGAAAGGGGCTAAATAGAAGCTGCAGGTATGCATGCAACAGTCCCAATAGCACCCAGCGTCACCCCCATATCAAGGGAAGTTACAAAGGTTACACTTTCACATTTGCTACTATAGTCAGGAAGAGAGGTACAGAAATGCTATAAAAAGGAAGTTTGGGGGAACAGCAGTTGGCATGGTGGTTAAGGGCCCTGGACTTCCACATAGCTGACCACAGTTCAAGTCCCAGACCTGGCGGCTTGCTTTCTCACGTTCTCTTTCTCTTTCTCTCTCACTCTGTCCCTCTCTGGTCAAATTAAGTAAATAAATAAGGTCAAATAAAATAATTCTTTAAAAAAAAAGAAAGTTTTCTTGCAGAAGGGATTTACTAATGATAACATAACCAATCACATCCCAAGATAGCAATGTATTTACCAGAGTCAAAGATAAAACCAGTGCTTAATCTCCTAGAAATCAGAAGACTGTGGACTCTAGAAATGGGAAGAATTTCAATATCCATCTGATAGCCAAGTTGTATCAAAAAGTAATAAACAAAACACTACCAATAACAACCATATCAAGGTCTCAGTCTCGGTCTTTCTCTGTTTCTCAGTCTTTAACCTCCAATAAAGATAGCAATAATGGTAAGAGAACAAAAATGAACTGGTATTTTCTTCTGGTATCAGTAGTCATACTCTTACAACCCATTGCCCCAGTCATGTTATCAAAGACATTCAAGACAGACCCCTTTAACTAATTACAATAAATTCCAGGGTCAGATTTCAGGTATTTTTTCCTTCTGAAATTATATAACTGTACATCAAAGCTTGTATTTTTTTGTGAATCAGAACTGAAATTTATTGATTATATTCAAAATGAAATATAATTAACATCAGCCAATAGGGCATGGTACCAATTTTACATATGACATATTCTTAACGTCAGGAGAAATGACCTCTTCGTGCCATACTGTATATATTTATTAGCCCTTTTCTGTTACTATTTCATATGTTCAAAAGAGAGAATAATGAAATCCTATTAATCATCCTTTTAAAACATTCTGTAGAATGTAAATCCATCAGTGCTTGATGTTTCCCCTAGTTAATGAAAAGGGATGAGTAGTTGAGGAGTGGTTCTGCTATTACCTGTCCTGCTTGGAATAAGTAAGCTCAGATGGTGGGTCTATTATTTTTCTAACAAAAAAATTTGCTTTTATCTCTTTTTTGTTTATTCTCTCCTTCTTGTAAAATCTGAACTATTTTTTCAAGTCATGAAACCTCTGTAGGGATCCTTAGAATGTTTTATCCATTCCTTACGTGTATACTCAGGAAGAAAAGAAGTAATCTATGATTTATTAAAATTTCATAGTAAGAGAAACTGAAAATGTCTTTGTAAAAAAAAGTTATGTAATTTAGTAACCATGCTTTTTGCATACAAATTAAAGTCTGTGGGGAGTAAGTTTTTGTACCAAACTAGGACTCTAAATTGCTCATTTAGTTATGACAGAATAACTTAGCCCAGTAAAAAGACTCTGTGAATCTTAATGTGTATGTGTGTGTGTGTGTGTGTGTGTGTGTGTGTATATATATATATATATGACTTAATAAAAAATGTCTGTTGTAATTATATTAAGAAAAAAAAAGCACAATAAGATTTTCTGTATTTTGTTGTTTTTACCTTTTTCTTTTTTTGCTAGAGTGTATGTGCTCATCAGAAAGGGGAGAGGAGTTTATAGGATTCGTTCATCTTTTTAAATATAACTATAATTCATTTATTCTCCTGGCTATATTTTATTTTGCACTACCATTTGTTTGCTTATTATATTTATTGATATTTCAATCGTATCCAGTTTGAGGCTATTTTGAATGGTGCTTCTGTATGCATTCTTTTTTATTTATTATTATCATAATCTTGTCTATATTACATTGAATCACACGTATCTTTATGGTGTATTACATTTCTTTTTTCCAGAAGGAATACCTTGCATATCAGTCAAGACAAATACATTATATATGCATTCTTATTCCCTTCTTTTGGTAAACACTATTGGATGTACACCCAGGATCACAGGCTATAGGTAGCTTTATCATACATGACAAGTAATGGTTTATACTTTCACCACAATGGAAGAGAGTTCCATTTGCTACAGTGGCAAATACTTGGTATAATTTGTGTTTTTCATTTAAACCATTCTGGGGTAGCCAGCAGGTAGTGTCATGATTAAGACACTGTGCCAGGGCTGGCAGGTGGTGTGGTGGTTAAGGGCACTGGACTCCCACGTGACCAACTGCAGTTCAAGCCCTGACCTGGTGGCTTGCTTTCTCGCTTTTTCTCTCTTTCTCTCTCTCTCTCTGACTCTCACTCTGTCCCTCTCTGGTCAAATTCAAATAAATAATAAACAAATTTATTAAAATAATTCTTAAAAAAAAAAAAGACATGGACTCCGCATGCTCAACTGCACAGTTTGAGCCCCAGATGTGGTAGCTTGCAAAATATCAGGTGCATATATGTGTGTGTGTGTGTGTGTGTGTGTGTGTGTCCAAAGCTCCCAAGGGAAAATGGAGAAAGGGAAATTATGGTGTTGCTGTCTCCCCAGAGGAGGGATGAATTTCTCACTTTCTCTCTCATTCTATGTCTATCTGGCAAGCATACACACCCTATAACAAACCTAAACAAAACAAAACAAAAAATTCTGGTGGGTAAATAGCACTATTGTGTTGTTGTCTTTCTTAACCTTACAGAAGAGGAAAGAATAACTAGTTTTATTAAGTTTTGTCCTATTTGAAGTATTTTAAATATTCTACTTTATAGTATTTTTTCTTATTTAAATGATACCTAGAGATAGCAATTCTGGAATGTTTAATAATACTGTAGCATAGATTGAGATTGGTTTATTTTTGTTCACTTATTCTGAGAGAAAGAGATTTTGGCTTGTATGGTTAAACATATTTTTATACGGTATGTATTTTGATGTATTTTGTATATGTAATACCTACATGTATTTCTTCCTTTGATAGCCCAATAATTTAAAACATGTTATTGGGACTCATCTGTATATTGCATAAGATGAAGTAAATTGCCTCACAAAATATGAGTGCAGATATATGTATAACTTAGCAGGAATTGGTGACAAACTGAGATATGTATTAATTATTTCAAACACATTCATAAGTAGTATCTAAAACAAATAATTTGGGGTTGGGTCCTCTGAGACAAAGCATTATTTTTAGAATAATCTATGTTTGCATGATAAGAATTTTACTCGAAACAGAGTTGTAGCTATTCCAGTGCTCCAAGAAAACTTCGTTTGTGTATGTTCCTACAGGAGGAAATTGTGAGCTCAAATCTGGTAAGTCGTTGAGGAGATAATGCAGTGACTGAGTTACTGAGTCATTTATCTTTCACTTTGCTAGCTATTCTGAGCGTGTGGTTGGAAATGGACTCAAAGCCCAATCTGGAAATCCTGAAGTCAAAGTCAAAGGAACTGATTCTGTGATAAATCAGATTATTGATAAACTGAAGCATGTTATTCAGGTAAGTGCTCATTCTATTTTTATTGGACTATTCACTAATATTAAATAAGTGGTTGCTTTCCATTATATTAGGTAAATTCATTACTCTCATCTGATAACCTTACCCAAAATAGAGTATTATACTAAGTTTTTTGTGTCGAGAATTTGGGAAATATTTATTTGAATGATTTTCATGGAGTTGATGTTCAATGGTATTCTAAGAGTGAGCCATCTGTATCTATGGAAAACAAACAATAGTCTCAATGTTTCAATAACAAGAATCTCAGAAAATGCTTCATGCTTCATTCATCCTCCATGAATAAGGTTTAAACATAGGAATACCATGACCATTGGAGAGAACACATGTCAGTTCATAGAAGAGGCTGGGGCTGTTTTTCAGGTAATTCTTTGAACCCTGCAATGAAGTTTTTTTCCTATATTTGCAACAAAAGTTAAGTCATACATAAATAATATACATGTTTAGTATTTATTCTATGTATTTTGAAAAACAGTATTTACTTCTAGTCTATCTAATGATTGTTTATGAAATGCTTCATTGTCGTTAATAATATTATTAGGTCAAACGGGTATATACTGCCATTTTAATACATATGAAGCATGTACCCTTTGACAAGTGAAAAACAAAAAACCAAAAAAAAGTAATGGAAGAGAGTTTTACTATTAACCAGTTTCATTCATTGAGAGAAATAATTTCTGTGATTTACAAAGTGAAGTAAGCCCTCTCCAGGGAGTACAGGAAGGAAAATAGAACTTTGGTGTATTTATTCTATCTCTTTTTTGGATATATCTTTGGGTTTTAGGAAGATGTATAATATGTAATGTATTAAAGCAATAGCATGTGTGCATAGAGTTTTTATGTACTCAAGTGTATGTATCAAGAGGCAGGTATTCAAAATGTTTTTATGGGATATATATTCACACACGATGTAAGTGAAATGGAAACCCTGTTGCAAGTTAGTAAGGTGGAGCTGATATACCATAAGAAGTGCACAGTTATAAGGAAACACTCACAATGGAATACCTGCATTCCCAATATATAAAGGCTCATAAAAACCCCTAGGAGGAGGAGCTCTCTGATAAGTTGCCCATTGAGCATAACATGACTCCATTTTCTTATTTCGTAAGTTTCAAAGCCATAGACTTTTCAAGTTGGCAGAGGAAAGTAATCCTATCTTTTTTTTTTTAGCTCCTGTGTTAAATTCTTTCATCTTTATAAGAATGTGCAGATCTCCAGTTATGCATGATTAAGTTTCATTCTAGGGCTACAAGAAAAAAATCAAATACGATGCTACCTTTGAGGTTTATCTTTTTCAAAGTCTACTAGGATGATAAGATTGAAATTTAGATTTTTACAGAGGATAGCATAAAGTCATAGCTTGGACAGGTGACACTAAAATATTCACCTTTAATGTGCTAAAACATGCTCTTTCATAAATCAGCTCTCCTAGAGATGAAGAGGAATGTTTTATTTTGCAGACTTCTGACTACTGATAATGTGTGTGTGTGTGTGTGTGAGAGAGAGAGAGCGAGCCCTGGCAGAGGTGGCTGTTGCACTCTGCAGTATCAAGGGGCAATTAAGAGGACCCACCACAGTGTTAGCGATAAAAAGGTTGAGGAAATTGTCTTCTGTAAGTGAAAAATTATTAATTTGGGAGTAGTATAAGCCAGAGAGAAAGTAGAAGTAGAAATATATTTCAGAATTTAATCTACAGCATATGTCAGAATCTAATCTGTAGCTTCAATGATCAATTAATCAGTGTTTAAATAAAATTTGGTATTGGTTAATAAGTCTGACTCAATATTCTAAGATGAAAAATACCATCTGTTATCATAGAGCTAAATAATGTTCTTTTTTATCCTTTTTTCTTCATATATGAGTATATAGAAAAAATAACTATAATTATTGCCAAAAATTGCCACTGTACATCAGCCAAAATACCACCTTTCTTGACCCACCATTTAACTGAACTTTATTTTCACCCTTAAACTTCTGCAATTAAAGTCACCAAACAAGTGGAGAGAGATTTTACCTTGAAAATGTGTTCTCTCCAGAGAGAACAAAGCAGAGAATAAGAGAGAGAAAGTAAGAAAGCATGCCCCTAGAGAGGGTGACAATGCCACAAACCCCTCTCCTCATTCTCCTCCTGGGATTTTGGGCATTCACATATGCCTGGCATGTTTTTTCAAACCACCAGGTCTGGGACTCAAACCATGCACTCAGCCTTGTGGGATCCAGCTACCTTAACCACCATACCACATTATCAGCCTGAAAAATTCTACTTTATAATGTCTTGATTTATTCAAAATGTTTAACAAATGCTCATTGAGTTTCTAGGATAGGTCAGGTTCTACAAAAGGTTCTGAGGTTAAAGTGTCAAACAAACCATGACATAACCCTGCACTCATTGGACCTACATTATAAAAAAAAAAAAAAAAAAAGCAAGTGAATAAACAAATACAATAACTGTTGCTGGCACATTTTATCTAGAAAACAAAACAGGGTGAGGGAGAGCAAGATATTTAAGAATATACTAGTGAAGTCTACTCAGAGGAGGATGTTTGGGTTGCTACTGATTAGCAGAAGAAAGTCTTAGGAGAATCTATGAGAACTATTTGGTGCAGAATGAATAAGAGTAAAGGACCTGTGACAGGAATACATTTTATCAGAGAACAGAATGGCAGTGTGGCTCAAACATAGGGGATAAGGGGAAAAGAAGAAATAAACTGTACTTTGAGGAGCCAGAGAGGCTCTACTAAAGAGTTTACATTTTATCCAAGTGAGATAGGCAATCCTGTTAAGACTTTAGGCAGAGGATGATATAACTTAATTTGTGTTTTATAAAAATAAATTTGACTTCACTGTGAAAAATGGGACAAGGGAGCCGTATAGAAGAATGAAGTAATTTAGTGTACAATTGATAACAGAATCAAAGGAGTTTTAATAGTAGTCAACTCGTCTTGCCGATTCTAGCCATTGGAACTAGGATAAAAGTGGGAATGTGAGATGTGAAATATTTCAGACAAATATTGGCGGGGGAATATCAGGATTTGTTGCTGGACTAGAAAGTATAGGTATAGAAACAGAAGAAAGACAATAGTGAAGTTTGATAGGATGGATCGTGTCATTATGTGAAAAAAGAAATTCTGCTATGTAAAGTAAATATTTGTGAAAAAATGAAAAAATAAATGAAAGAAAAAATAAAAACATAAAAACAAATGGAATTTAAAAAAATAAAAATAAATAAATAAATAAATTGTAAAAGAAAAGAAATTCTGAGTGGAGTAGGTTTGGGGATGGATTCCTGGAATTGACTGGAAATCAATAGTTCTGTGAAATTTGAAATACCTGTGAGACATCAAAGAGGAAATGTCCAGAATTAATTGGGGCAAAAAACTGGAGGAGTAATTTGTGAGCATAAGCATATAGACATAGTATTTAAACTATGAGACTGGGGACCAGCAGTGGGCGTAATGGCTATTCTGCTGAACTACCATGTAGACCGTGGTTTGTGTTCCGTACCCAGTGGCTTAAACTCATGCCAGGCGTGTGTGCGTGCATGCCCAAGATCCTAAGAGGAGAATGGAGGAGAAGGGATTGTGGCGTGGCAATCTCCCCTGGGGAGGTGATTTCTCGCTTTCTGTCTCTCTGTCTCTCACTGTCTTTCTGGTGAGTGCATGCATCCTATAGCAAAAATCTCTCCAAATAATAATAATAATAATAACAACAAATAAATAAACAAACCATGAAACTGTATGAGATCATCACCTTTCCTTCATAGTATGCATTCACACCAAAACTATTAGTCAAGATTATAAAGCAGCAAATCATATGAAAAACATATACTGCAAAAAAATCTCAAAATTGAAGAAGCATATGTTGAATATATCTGGTACCTTAACAAAATAACTCACCTCCCTATACTTTTTCCTAAATATACATATAAATAGATCAATATTTAAAAAAAAATTGGGATCATCATAGGGTACATTTTGTTCTATGACCTGAATTATTCATCTAACAACACATAATAAATACATTACCATGACATTAAAAATTCAGCCATATGGTTGTTAGTGCTTGCAAATTATTCTAACATATGGAAGATTATAATTTTACTTAATCAAACATCTAAATTTGGATAGTTACATTATTATAAGTTTTTCAGAAAAATAGGATTATCAGTTGAAATTATTTTATTTTGCATTTTTCTCCTTATATACATTCTCAATGTTATTACCAAGTGTCAACTTATTAATAATCATTAATTAATTTGATAAGTGTTGCCAAATTTTTCCCTAGTAAGTTATAGCAATTTATACATGAAATAAATGGACTGCATCGGCTTTCCCTGCTTAAAAGAGTGAGAGGAGGGAACCAGCAGTTAACATAATGCATATGTCTCTGGACTCCCACGTAGTCGACTGTGGTTCGCGTCTCGGACCCGGTGGCTTAAAACTCACGCTGGACGCGTGTGCGTGTGTGCCTAGGATCCCGAGAGGAGAATGGAGGAGAAGGGATTGCGGCGTGACCATCCCCCCTGGGGGGTGATTTCTCGCTTTCTGTCTCTATGTCTCTCTCTGTCTGTCTGGTGAGCGCACGCGCCCTATAGCGAAAACCTCTCCAAAAAAAAAAAAAAAAAGAGTGAGAGGAATCCTGACAGTGGCCAGGGACATTACTGGATTCTAGAGATCAGAGTAGTAAGTAGTTCTTTAGTAATATTAGCCTTAATAGGGTGTCACCGTGGGGCATTCTGAGGATGGTCAAAAGATATATTTTAGTTAAAAGACTACAGAAGTTTTGGGCTAGCTGACTGGCATGATAGTTAAAGCAGCCTGATCCTTCATAACCATCTATACAGTTCAAGTCCCAGACCCAGTGGCTTCAAAAACTCTCACTGGACATGTGTTTATGTATGCCCCAAATCCCCAGAGGACAATGAAGAAGAGGAGATTCTTTCTCACTCCACCCTGCCATCTCTGTCTATCTGTCTCTCTCTCTGG